TTAAAATGAAGAGAAAATAAAGTATTCTACCTCATGAAACTATATATTTTTGTATATACTGTAAATAGACATCCACTTTATATAATAAAATACATTCATAACCCATATGTAGTAAACAGTGTGGGAATTCACGATCACTGTATGAGGTAAGAATCAACAGCTTTTTATCACATTTACACAACACTTTATGAATACAAGTAATTAACAAATCTTAAATATGGCAGGGAATGTGTTTCCTTTTTTAGTTTTGATTTTGAGCAGCAAATTTGAAGTTACATATTGGTGCTCACCAGGAATGCATAAGCAAAATTGCACAAATTTTCACTTGAAAGAATCGTGAACAATCTTGGGATTTTTTTCTGTTCAAGTTTCAAATAGTGTGTAAATTGAATACACTTCATCTTCAGCAATGTTTAGTGCCACTTTTGTAAGTGGCCATGCCCCCTGTCCAGGCCACGCCCCCGTCCAGGCCACGCCCCCTTCTGCTTTTTTCATCACTAGCCACTCTCATCCCTGATTAATCGGCCTTTTGAAACGTTGTTGTTGTGCAAAGCAAAAGAAAGTCGCCATAACTAGTTATGGGCACAACACGCAAGAATAATCAAGGGGAGTCATAGCAACTTTAGCTTCGCTCAACAAGAGCAAGGATTTCAAAAGGGCATCACTCTACCAGGATTGTACCTTTGGCTGCAACGTGACACAGTATTCTACAAAGTACTTTCGATAGGCTATTTTACGCTAACAAGGAAAACTTTTAACGTAGTTACCAGCAGCCAACATTCCGTTGTCCTCGTCCGCTGCCGGGGTGCAGAGCAACACAGTCTGTGACTTGGTATTTTTTCATAATTTTTCATTGTTACATTTCAAGTTACATTTAGGATATTGGGTACCACTGTGGGGGCGGATAGCAGCTTCATAGAGGCATATACCCCCCCCCCCCCAAATTGTAACCTAACAAAAACAAAAACTCTACTTGATGGAAATTCATCGATTGTGGGGGGCTTGGATCGTATCAGCTGCAAAAAGTGACGGAACACTGCATGATTTGTAGGTAATTAAGTGAGCAGATGAAGCTTTGATTTTTATTGTACAGTGATCCCTCGCTATTTCGCTTATCGCGGCTTCAGCGCATCGCGGATTTTTTCAAACATATTCATAAAAAAAAAATTTTAAAAATGCATATACATGTAGTACAGTACTGTATATGTTGCTCTATGTGACTCACTGTTGTTTTGCTGACTTTCACAGCTTCTCGCGGACCGTTTGCGGACTTTTTGCGGACTTTTTTTTTTTTAATGTTATCTGTATTTTGTTATTCATAAACTAACCTAACTTATACATGTTTAAATCTATTAGCAAACAGGATTAAGTCATTTTAATTACTTCAAAATTTATTTCTACATGCATGTATACCATTAAATTTGGCCTAATAAATATTATGTACATGTACCTATATGGAGGAGGGGGGGTCGCTACTTCGCGGATTTTCGTTTAGCACGGGTGGTTTTGGTCCCCATTAACCGCGATAAACGAGGGATTACTGTACAAAGAAATAACACAAGATAACTCGAGAAGCCTGTCAGTGAAACCGAATAACACTTGCCAAGAAGCTAAATGAAAACTAACTAATGAAGCAAGCTGATGTTTTGCTGACGAAGCTAATTGATCGATTTAGTTGTTGAAGATAACAACTGGAGTTAGCAGTCGAAGCTCATGTTTTTTTTATTTTTGTCTAAATGAAGTGATAGGTCATTTGATTGCCGATGTCTAGTAAATAGGGTATTTGACGTTAACATTGACGCATGTCACGAACACACCGTCTGCGTGGTCCAATTAATCCCATGAACGCATGTGTCCACTTAGTGTTTCAAATGGGATCAAATTAGTCTCAAAATATTAAGTTATTCTTCGCAATTTTGCAGATGCAAATACAATTGTGATTGGTCCATCCAAATTTCCCCCCAAATTAGAATGCAAATACATTACGTAGCCAGAAGATGTTTTTATTTTCTTTATCTCGCCAAATGTGTTTCAGAAAATGTCAACCCAGTTACTGCAAATGTGAGAAATAGGTGGTTGCTGAGCCAATGTAATCAAGTCATTTTGGTGTCAAAATATCAAATTTCTGGATTTGCTACTTTCTTCTCCACGCTTTGAGCCCTGCGGCTTTAAATGTGACGCAGACTGTGAAAGTTATAAAACAATGTTTTATTTCTTCTGTATTTGGCTGCGTGTGATTTAGTACCGGTAAGGCCGGTCCTGTAGTCACTGACTCTGATAGACAGGGCCTGCCCGAAATACTGACCGAAGCTCACTGATGCACTCACCAGACTGATGATGCCCACCTTTGATCATTATATATTGAACCATTTGCAGCAAATGCAAACAATTAATAATAATGTCTTCTTCTATTCATTTATATAAGGCCAAACAAAAAAGATAGTGTGTTTCCGGTAACATGAAAAATCAGCATAGGGTCGGTCGGTCGGAATTGATTTTTTTTTTAATCTTTTTTTTTTTTTTCCATCAAAAATTTAAACAAAATAACCATAAAACAATGAGACATTGAACCCCCCGCTCGCCGCCAAAG